TAACCGAGGCCGTATAAATCAGAGTTTCAAACTTTATACAAAATAAATCACAAATGACCACGTGTTGTTTTTTTAATTATTCGTAATATTTTTCCAGCAAACTTTTTTTGTTATTTTTATATAAAAATATCGTCTAAGCTTTAACCAAACCCGTGTAAATCACAATTTCAAACTTTATAAAGATTTAGGAAAATTAAACAAACTTTCATGAAAATTTCAAATTTTTATTCTGAATTGTTGAATGCAGTTTTATAGCCCATACAATTTTAGTCTAATGAAGTACGAGTTTCAAACGGCTAAAACATCGTGTTGATTATTGAGATTTTTTTTGTGCGACGGACTTTGCACTTTTTTTCATATAAGTATGAATTTCTTATGAAATAAAACACGGCAGACCGTCAGCAACGAAATTTCAAAATCGGCCGTATTGCGAATGAACAAATATTGGCATAAATTATAAAGCAAAACAAAAACAATGTTTCCCAATTTGTTTTTGTTTTGCAGGCTAAATTATGGGAACGATTTATTCACATGGAATCGGCTATAGGGCTGAATATGAACACAAGTTTTTGTAAATAGCGCTTGTTATATTAAAAAATCCGAAAAAGTAGCCTTCAAAAAAGAATTCTCAAAAATCAACGCAATTTTTTACCCGTTTGAAACTCGCTTTTTATTACACAAAAATTGTATGGGCTATAGAACCAAAAATGTTCTAAAAATTCAGAATAAAAAGTTGAATTTTTGATGAAAATTTGTAGAATTTTCCTAAATATTTATAAAGTTTTAAATTGTGATTTTCACGGTTTTGGTTAAAGCTTAGACGATATTTTTATGCAAAACTAACAAAAAAAAATTAGCAAGAAAAATATTACGAATATTAAAAAAAAACATGTAATTTGTTTGAGTCACTGTATGTGTCTCAGACTTACCCTCCGATGCAGCAGGCCTTAGGTGGGGCACAACTGTTGTTGTTGTTGTTACTGGTGTGTAGTTGTTGTTGTTGTTGTTTGCTGCCTCCCGTTGCGATGGTGTTGCTCGGTGGCGTTTGCTGCCCCACTGCTGCTATGGCCTGTCGTTGTTGATGCTGGTGTGTAGCCGTTGCTGTCGCAGCCTTAATGGGGCCGCCTGGTTGTTGTTGGGTGTCGTGCGTTGTTGTTGCTTTCGCGCTTATTGCAACCGGTGCTATGGCGACGTCGTAGCGCCTCGTTGTTGCAACTTCTCTGTGGCGGTTGTTGTTGCTTGCGCGTGTTGCGACCGCTTCTAAGCCGGAGTTGTTGCCCTCTGCTGTGGTTGTTGCCCGCTACTGTGGCGGCTGTTGTGGTAGATGCTGCTTATGGCGGTTGTTGTTGTTGTCGCGCGTTGTTGTTGGCTGTCACTGCGTTGTGCGGAGTGAGACAGCGACCTTCGGGATGGGAGGATCTTAAGTTTATAATTATCATAAAAACATTGGTGCGCATTCATAATCGTAACTATGAATATGCGCCTTTTACCATTTATGTGACACTAGCACTACATTCGCCATCATTTACTTGGTCCATACCTACACAAGAACCGCATTAGCAAAAACCAATTTGACTTACTACATATTTCTTTCAAGTTTTTAGGCCTATGTCTTTATAGCGCACTCGCTGAAACCATATTCAAATCTAAGTAAAATTGTCTGGTTTTATTCGATTTTCTTTAATAATTAATTTGCGCGGCCAATCAAAGGAAGCGAACCATAATTCAATTTTATTACAATAATAATTCGAACTTACACCGGGCTATATAAAGAAGACCCGCCTATTTTCACTTCGTGTCNTTTTCTTTAATAATTAATTTGCGCGGCCAATCAAAGGAAGCGAACCATAATTCAATTTTATTACAATAATAATTCGAACTTACACCGGGCTATATAAAGAAGACCCGCCTATTTTCACTTCGTGTCCAATGAATGTTGGGTTTATGTGGTTTTCCAAACGGTGCAAGAATATAAAAGAAACCAATTTAAAAAAAAAATGGAGTAAATACACTTTTGAGCCAAGAGCCCTGATGCGTGCCAAGCGTGTGCCCAAACGCCCGTAAAGTGACTTAAGTTAACACGAATTAATGCATCGTGTAATCAGGCCAATTAATAAAAAAAATTTAACCTGACTGTAGCGATGGTAGTGGGTATTGATGCCTGGGTGCGCTCCAAGCGCGCTATTTCGCAGGCCAGTAGCGGGAGGTGGTTGTGGCCCTACTTGCTGGACTGGATGCGCCGCTTAAGTTACCACCACTCACTGGGTACTCTTGGACGTNTGCCAAGCGTGTGCCCAAACGCCCGTAAAGTGACTTAAGTTAACACGAATTAATGCATCGTGTAATCAGGCCAATTAATAAAAAAAATTTAACCTGACTGTAGCGATGGTAGTGGGTATTGATGCCTGGGTGCGCTCCAAGCGCGCTATTTCGCAGGCCAGTAGCGCGGAGGTGGTTGTGGCCCTACTTGCTGGACTGGATGCGCCGCTTAAGTTACCACCACTCACTGAGTACTCTTGGACGTCGCTCGCACCTTGATAGAATTCTAAGCTGGTAGCCCGCTTCGGCGGACGGTGGAGCAAGATGCAATGTGCAAGATAGTGGCGCTATTTATTATTAGTTTGTTGTTGTCTGTTTTTAAACTTATGTGGAGTGATAAAAACCCACAAAATTAATTATTTTAACACTAAAACGCTCTTTGGTTGTTTTTCTTCACTTCCACTTGATTGTGACAAACGGTATCGCAAATGGCTGACTGTGAGTTTGCCAGCGGGTTTTATACCCTTGCCAAATGCGACGCAATTTTTGATGGCATGTTAGAAATAGACGCGGTATTATCGATAAGTACCATGCAATCTGGTTGGGTCTATTTATTTTTCTTTAGATTTATAGGAAAATGAAGGATGTATATATTGATTTTAAGGTACATAACCGATTTACTTAAGGGTAAATGTAGATAAGGCGTTACAATATAATAATTAGTTATTTTATTGCAGGAAAACCTATATTGACAATTTATTCAGTTTTTTTATCGACTATTGTTAAAGAAGCTTAGTTTCAGGGAATGCTAACAAGGATCTGCCTATGTTAAGCGTCCTAAAATTGGGAAAGCATGATATCGTAACTTTTAAGATAAAAAAAAAATATTGTTTGTCATGAAAAATGAAAATGGTATTGTTAAAAATTTTCTTTTATAATGAACGGTTGCTTGCATATAGAGTTTTGCCAATTGGGGCCATCTCTAGATCACGCGTATTTTTGGTAACACAGTGATATGAAGTAAGAGATATCTCATACCATTTATCGCATACCTAGCTATGGGTTTAGCAACTTTTTCATATATGCTTTGATTCACACTGATCGCACTACGATAAGATTTGGTATGCGAGAAAACTGACAGTTGTATGCTAGCGCCCATAGCAGGTATATACGTGCAGTAATAGCCCTATAGTGTGCCTTGTCTAAAAGTGTTGTCGACTTTTTTTCGCTTTTAGGCTTTTTATGTACTAGTCGATAATGTTTCCTGTAGTGGCAACCCCGCCAAGAATTGTCAAGATGGCAGACTCTCATTGGCAGTTTTGGCGTTGCCGTACGCTCTGGACAATATTAGATGGTGAAATTTTCTGACACATTACCGGTTGCAATAAGAATAAAATATTTAGATTTCTCTGTGGCGAACAGTAGCCCATAACAAAAATAAAATGAGTAGAAAATGTACTAAAACACCAATTTTTCGCACTTCAGGGATATCTGTATGCGGTCAAATCTCAAAATAAACATTATATTATGATTCCTTGACCCCAAAAACCTTTAGTTACACTTGTTCAAAAAGAATAAAAAAATTGTTTCTACAAATGCCGGATTCTGCACAAACCACGTACTCTGCAGAAAACCTAGGGTGACCCGAAAGTTCTGACTTCAGATTCGGATTCAGCAGACCCAAAAGATTAGAAACTGTGAAAAACCCCGGGGGATTTTTGAAATCTTAAATTCTGTTGTACCTTAGTAAAATAATTATATGTGCATCATGTTTTTCCTCGGTTTCTCTGTATTAAATAAGGGTAAAGTTTTTTGTGGTATGTAGTTAGAATAGCCATTGGTTTATAAGTATTTTCCATACACTTGGTTGGTATTCATGTATTATTTAATCTACCGTTTCAGCAATCAGTAGTACATTCAATAGAAAACAATTACATGTGCTTAAGGAGTTATTCGGCTTCCTATTGTCATAATTTCTCAACAAAAAAGTACAGTAAAAAATATGTAGAAGCTATTTTCAAACTAAAACCTATTTTATTATTTTTCAATGTTATATCATGGCCCATAATATCCAGTGGCATTGAACTATAAAGATAACGGTAAAGAATTTTCAAGGAAACACATGATGCACATATAATTCTTTTACTAAGGTACTGTGTTGTTGGAAGTCTCCAGAAGAGAAGCAGAGTTTGTCCATCGAAAAATATTGACTTTCAAGAATTCTGTTCCATTTCCACAATTTTTTTTTGTAATTAAAATGAAATTAAAACTTTGAGCGCTTGAGCTACTCTAAATATTTTTTGATTTCGATATATTTTATTAAATATAGAACAATCATAGGGGGTGAGAGCATTGCATTTTTGGGCCACCCTAATGTACATACATGTCTGTGGCAATAAGTAACAACTATTACAACCGAACAGTATAATACCTTTATTACCTAAATTAAAGGGAAATTTTTGATGAGAATTGATGGGAAAATTAAGAAGGGGTTGTGACATTCAAAATTATTTCTTTTACATTAATTTTTTAACAGTATTTAAGTGGCTACTGCTTAAATTCACAAGCATACGGTGAGAATGGTACATTCTACTCACTCGTGCTATAGTCAGGCTTTCCTTATTGCCACAGATATGTATATTTAATTCGATAGTTATTGCAGTTGGTGCTTAATACATACATATTAATATTCATTTTAGTAATGTATAACTAACAAAATATTATTAATATTTCTTTTTCAGGTTTAGACAAAATTGAGTACCTGCAGTCCCATGAAAATCGCGACATTTATTACAAATCATTTTACATAATTGAACAATATTTTAGTAACGAAGAAGAAGATTCGCGTGTGGCACCTACTGAAGAAGAAACACAATACACATTTAATCCAAACGTTGATACGCCAAAGGGTGGATTTTTATTTTAGTCCTATAGTGTTTTCGAAAAACGTGGTTTTGAATGTTATTAAGTAGCGGAGGTTCGTGTATATTTCTGATCAAAATATAATTTTTGTTATTATCTTTTAACAAAGTAGCAGTTTTTCAGATATTTTGCTTCTTTAAGCTTAGTATCTAGCTCTAAAGAAATAGTTTTCATTGTTTCTGTCGCTTGCATGCAGGCAAGTAATAACAAACTTTAGAGAATTGTAGAACAAAAATCTGCATACTAACAGCATGAACCTGAATTCAAAAATGATGCTTGAAAAAAATTTCTTATTCAATTCTTGAGTGCTTTTTA